AAAATACCTTTTTTGGTCCTATGATGTTTGGTAAAAGCAACTACTGGGTTGGTCTCTTTGATGATATCTTTTACTCTTATTCGAGTCTTATTGAATTTCCTCTTCTTGCTTGGTTGATGAAAGAAAATCAAATATTTTCCCGGGAAAAAAAAGAACACCCTTGAAAGCAAAGAAGAAGAAAGTAGTAGGAGGTTTAGCCAAATAGAGCAGTAAATATTTATGTAGGAAGAAATGCAGACTTCAATGCTCTCTAAACTGTTTCATTGTCCTATGAGCCTCTGTAATTTTCTTTACTCTATCTTCTGGGAAAACGTGTACCTTATTATTAATATTATGTCACACCACATTTATTATATAGTCAGTTGATTTAGATTTTTCTTGCTGGATATCAATCTGCAACTTCATGTTCTATCGATTGTTAATTTATTCATACTGAGACTGTTTTGTTGGTCGACCATCTACACTAGCCCTACTAGCCGGGCACCATGGAAGAGTGCCTTGTAAGATATATTTAATTGTTTAAAGACTAATGTAAAATCTTACTTTAGAATGATTAAAATTTAAAAATTTAAAAAAAGACAAATCTATAAAATTTTACGATAATGAACATAAATTATTAATAATATATATATATATATATATAATATTTATAATTTAAAACTTTTAAGAGAGTAATTACTCTACTCATCCCATCCCATTTTGTTTTTCTCTGGATAATTTACGGCGTTATTATGTTAAAACCTCCAATAATTGATTATTTGGAAAAATAATTCTCAAACAAAATTTAGGTCTGTAAACGAATAAAAAGGGAGTATGTACATGTTCGTCCGTTTAACTTTAACCGAACAAATAAACGAATACAAACATAAACGAACAAAATTTTTTTTATTCGTGTTCGTTCGTTAAGGAATTTAGCTTGTTCGTGTTCGTTCATTTAAATGATAAACGAATACAAATGAATGAACATAAAAGAACGGATGTAAATGAACACAAACGAACGAACGTAAACAAACATAAATGAACGAACATAAATGAACATAAACCACAACAACAATAATCACATAAAATTCATTAATATAAGTTGCAACTTCATAGTTAATTTGTATTTAATGTTATGGGTTTTTTATTTGTATTTATAATTAATTAAATTTAAAATATTAATGGGTATCATGTTAAAAATATTTTAAATGAGTCTAGAGAGATTGCGCTAAACATAAATGAACAAACATAAACGAACGAAAGTAAGCGAATAAAAATGAACGAACATAAACGAACATATTATCGAACGTTCACGAACGTAAATGAATGAACGAGCTATTTGTTCGTGTTTTTTCATTTAATTAAACGAAAACAACATCTTGTTCATGTTGGGTCGTTTAATAAATAAACGAACATAAACGAACTTTCATCCGAACGATTCGTTAAACGTTCGGTTCGTTTATAGACCTAACAATATTTAAAAAAAGCCTCCAATTATATTTTTTTTAGAAAAATGATCTCCAAATCTCGTGTTTTATAAAAAGCGATTAAGATATTAGGTTTTACAAAAAGTTAGTTCCATGCATTTATAATGCTCTTTATACATAAATTATATGAAATTATCTGGAAAGTTGATAAATCTCGCGTTTTGTAAAACGTGATGTCCTTAAAATGCGTTTTGTAGAATGTGATGTAATTTTACGTATATAGTTTAAGAGTTATTTTCTTAAATAATATTGTTTATGGGTTATATTTTCAAATAATTAATTATTATGAGCTTTTTACATAACATCATCATAATCCACCGTCATTCTGTTTAGCTTAGATTAAATTTTTTTATGATTATGTTTGAGATTTTTGGCTATTCTTGTTAGCAATATAATTTTTGCCTTGATCTGTTATTTAGGGGCTGTTTATTTACTTCAGAATGATTAAGCGCTGAATGATTCATTCTATATGAATAAGCTTTGAATGTGACATGCTGTTTGATAATGGTTCTGAATCATTCAGAATATACTTCTGTGCTGAATCATTCAACATTGTTTTGCTGAATCAGCTAGCACTGAATCATTCAGAGGTGAGAAATAAACGCGTTGAATGTTAAACGGTTCAACATTCAACGCTGAATGATTTCATTCAGAGCCAAACAAACAACCCCTTAGTGATTTTATTCATTCAATGCATTTGTTTAATTATTTTCTTTGGGGAGATTAATAGACAAAATTTATTAACCACGTAAGTTTTTTTTATAGAAACAATTAATTTTATTAAAATAAATATATCTAAATTACAATAAAAGTTTACAATTACACAGGTAAACTAAACAAATAATAAATTATTTTCTTAAATACAAGAAAATTAATCATTTAAGATCACATAATAACTATACGAGAAAAATGTTAAAAAACTAACTAAATAAACTCGAACAAAAGGTAAATACAAACATATCTAACTAAATCGGCAAACAAACTACAAAATGAAATGGAGATATTGAAATATCACCGACAAATGGCAAATCAGAATCAAACAATGTAAAAATATTATCTACGAACGCAAATTGCATATTTAATTTAATATGAGATTCCAAATCAAGGAAGGTCAGCATGATAACAAATAAACGTCATTTTAATCAATTGTGCAATATCAAATCTAACATTAAAAAAAGGATAAACAAAACAACAAGCAAATGATCGAAAATGTATTATAAAGGCATAAGAAAAACCTGACATAAAGACATAATAATACGATCTATAAAGACAAGCTTATTAAAAAAACAAATATACATTATAATAAAGCAAATAAAAACAATAAATACCAACGATCGACTATCAATAAAAAAAGAGATTAACAACAGTTAAGAAAAAAAAGAGAAAAATAGGATAAACCCTATTAATTTAAGGTAATTATAATATAATATATATTCTAAAGAGTATTTACTAAACTTAAATATCATTGTAGCTTTTAATATTTGAATCTGAAACTTAAATAGCTAAGTTTATATATACCGAGGCTTTTGAGTTCTTGAATACTATCATTCGCCTCCTACTTTGTTAAAAATATGTATCTATTATGTTTAGATCTTATTTTTATTTAAATTTAATATATTTAAGTATTTTATTAATATATTGATGATCAATTTAATTGTGTCTCGTCACGATTAATTTTGATTCTAATATATTTGAATGTATTATTTATACGTATGATTATAGTTTATGATTTAAAGCTTGAAAATAAACTTTCAAAATTAAAAATTTATTTTGTTAAATTTATTATCTAACATTTTATTTTTACTATTCTCGAACTCTCATTTTTCAAAAGTAAATATCTATTAAATTTAATTCGATTGATATATTTGTCAATATAATAAATTCTTTAAATTATAAATAAAAATAAGTTTAAATATTATATAAAGAAATAGAAACAGCAATATGCTCATCGACGCTATATAAAAAAGTATAATTAATATATAAGTTAATTGCAACATACGTCCTCAAAAATATAACTCTAATTCTAAATTAACTTCAAAACTTTTAAACGTTCAAATCTCATCCATAAATTATGACTATCAGTATAAATTAGTCTTTAAGCTTTTGAATATTTTATTTTTATTCACAAACTATGACCTTTATTCTAGGTTGGTCCCCAAAATTTTTGAACATTTCAATTTCATCCCAAACTATGTATATATGCTAATCACATCATTTGTTAATAAAATCGTTAGACCAATTTATATTATTATATGTTGTTAAAAATAAAATTTAAGTTAAACTATGCTTGACGCTAATTACATATTTGGATGACTTTGGGGATGAATTTGAAAGATTAAAAAATTTAGGAACCAGTTTAGATTGGGGAGTCATAGTTTGAGGATAAAACTGGAATGTACAAAAGTTTAAAGACTAATTTAGAATGAAAATCATAATTTATTGATAAAAAATAAAAATAAAGGATCAATTGAAAAGGATGATCATAGCAGATGACGATGTATGATACAATTAACTCTTAATATATTAATTTATAAAATATGGAAAACCCGAAATGGTAATAATTTTTAAAAATATCAAAACACATACACTTAACCCAACTCAACCCATGCTAGAGTGGGCCTATACATGAAACTTAATTCACTCTAATCCTGTCAAGTATGACTTAAGACCCATTCAGCAATACTTATCAAAAGTTATTCTTAGCGTAATTTTCAAAAGTAATGATATATTAGCTCTTAAACATATAATTTACTTAATCTAAATCAGTTTTAGATTACAAGAATCCAACAATCATTATATCCTTATAAGTTTTGAGTTTGAGCATTCATCGCCAAATAATTTAGTTTTTTGAACATATATTACCTTATAATCACCGTAAATTAATAAAAAATATCAACTTCCATTTAGTAGGATGTTGTTGAAGATAGCTACATTTTATATAACGGGAGAAACCGATTATAAAGCAACACCACTGTAATTTTTTACCTAAATTCTAAAATTCAAAATGAGTGTCTGAAACGAGTCTACTTATATGATATCATATTTTGGCTTAAAGCTTTGAACCATGGGCAAAGTTGAAATTAGAAACAAAAGAATGGACGCGAACCAGAAAAAGGCAAAAACAATGGGGGTTTATTCATAAATATTAAAGGAAAGAGGCCCCGCAATGGAACTGCAAAATAATTGTATTTCATATCGAATTTACTAGTTAATTCATGCTAATCTCACCTAACTCAAAGTAGTAGTAGATCCAAAAATTTAAAAATAATGGTCTAAAATTTCAATTTTTTTCTTAAAAATAATTAATATGCAAAAATTATAATTTTTTTTCTTTTTTTAACACATTAAACTAAATTTAACCAATTTTCTAATATAATTAAGATACCTCTACTGGACTTAATGCATCCACCACTACGTATAAAACGTGATGTAGTTTGGTGGAAGCATAAAGGTTACAATGATCATTTGCTACAAAACAGTGCCATGAATTCAGTCTCATTTTGAAAATTAGTGAAGTTGAAAGGGCTTTTTATGTAAATTCAACTAATAAAGCATCATGATATCTGCAGTAGCAGCCCCAAATCCACCCGAAGCTACAGAAAAAAAAGGGTAGAAAATAAATTCACTCCAAAAAGAAATTAAAAATAATCCCAAAAGAAAACTAAAAACGTTTTTGGGATTGCAGGTATCTTTCCCTTTCTTTCTTTCTTTCTTTTTTTTAATTTTAAGGTTCTATAAATAATATATATATAATTTCTTATATTGCTAAAATTAGAGAGGTTCTGTCTGTTTTTCTTCTATTATTCTCTACATAGATTCTCCTTTTTTCTAATACTGTAATAAGTTTTCTTCTTTTGGTCTTAAAGGTTTTATTTTTTTAGTGCTATAAGTTAATTGTTTTTATTTTCTGGGTAGCTTTTTAAAACTTGGAGAGAAGCTGGTCAGACAAGTACCTAGGAATCTTGAGTTGTTCTCAAGTGTTTCTGGGAAGTGGTTGGACTCAACAAGATGTCTCAAACCAACTGGGAAGCTGATAAAATGTAAGTCTTATTCCCCCCAACCCTTATTAAAGTTAACTGTGTTTGGGTTTCAATTTTTTTTTTGAAGTTCTCCATTTTTGGCGTTATTTGAGTTCTGGGTATGTAAGTTTTTTCTGGGGTTTTCTTGTTCTTATTTTAAAGTCTTTTAATATTTCAAGTTTAGTTCTTTGAAGCATTTTAGGGTTTTGTTTGTTCTGGAACTTCAAGCTACTGTTATTCAGTTTTGCATTTTTTAAAAAATAATAAATTTGGTTTAGGGTTTTGTTGTTTAATGTGATGCCCTTTTTGAAAAGACTGTTGCATCAAAAAAATAAAATTTTCCTTGGCTTTCTTTTGTTTCTCATTTTTTTGACAATATCATGTTAAATTCCAAAATTGTTTAGAGATGTTGTTTATTAGATTTCATTCTTTTCTTATTGAGCTAATAGTTATGCTTGTAAATTCTGATTTCCTGCTCTAATAAACTATACCGTATGGCCATGTATTTTCTCAATAACAGGTTAGATGTTTATATCCATGATTATTTAGTAAAGAGGGATTTAAAGGCTTCAGCTCAGGCTTTTCAAGCTGAAGGGAAAGTATCATCGGATCCTGTGGGTAAGTAATTAAGCCGGTTCTGGAATCATGTTAAAGCCAAAGAAGATCTATCCTTATCTATTATGTTGTCGCCTTCTCACCCTAAGTATCTGCTATGCTTAAAAAACTTAATATTTTCATTGATGCTGTTGCTGCTTCTGAACCTGGAATCCAGCTATTGATGCACCTGGAGGTTTTCTATTTGAATGGTGGTCTGTTTTCTGGGACATATTCATTGCCAGGACTAATGAGAACCACTCAGAGGTTGCTGCATCATATATCGAGGTTGGTTGGCTTTGATTTTATTTCAATTTTTTCATTGTAACCTGTCAATTTGTTTTTAGTTTGTACTCGGTATGGATAGCCTACCATCAATATTTCATTTTTGTGTTGTTTGTTGGGAAGAGGGCCCAGATGGGACTCATCTGCACTTCTGTTATGCTGTTCATGTCGAACCACATTCAACATCCATTATATTGAATGTCTAATATGCATGGTAGTTTTTCTTGTCTGAAAAAATTCGGCTCTTTCTTGGTGTTGAACTTTTTAAGTGCAGAAGAGTCCTTTTACCTCAAAACATTTAAAGCATTCTGCTTTAGTTGTGATTAAGTGAAGTTTCTTTCTCAAATTTGTATGTGTACACACCAATCTGACAAAAGGAAACTAGAAAAGACAAATACTTCTTTGTTTTATGCTCTTGTTATAAGTAATTTCTGAGATTTTTTAGAAGGAAACTACATTTAACATTCTTGCAATTCATATCAGTTTGCTTCGGAGTGGTCATGTGTATAAAGTTGTTGTATATCTTGCTATATGTTATTGAATGATATATCGTTCAACAAATGATGACTTGAGAGACATCAGTCAGGTTTAAATAGTTGGATGTTGCAAGTTACTTATTATATGTGGAAATTGGATTCTTCTCCTAAAGGCATATTACACAATGAACTTGTAGCCATAGGGCGTTTGTTGGTTTCTTTGTCACAGAACTGGCTAGCAAAGGGTCTTTTTGTTAGGAAAGAAAGGAAGCTATTTAAGGGCAGGAGAAGTGTTTCCCTGTTGAATTTGGTTAAAAATATTATTATTTAGACTGTACTCATAGTGTAGATTGTGAAATCTTCAAGTCTCCTGAATGATTTCTTCTTAAATATGTGATGATTATGGTGCATTAATATTGCAGACTCAGTTGATTAAAGCACGAGAGCAGCAGCAGCAACGGCAACCTCAGCAGCCTCAACATCAACAGCAGCAACAACTGCAGATGCAACAGCTTTTATTGCAGAGGCATGCCCAGCAGCAGCAACAACAACAACAACACCAGCAGCAACACCAGCAGCAGCAGCAGCAGCAACAACAGCAACAACAGCAACAGCAGCCGCCACCGCAGCAGCCTCAGCAGGCGCAGCAACCCCAGCAGCGAAGGGATGGGTCTCATCTCCTAAATGGCAATTCAAATGGACTTGTCGGAAATGATTCTCTCATACGTCAGCCTGCTGGAACTGCGAATGCCATGGCGACTAAGATGTACGAAGAAAGATTAAAATTGCCACTTCAAAGGGATCCTTTGGATGATGCAGCTATGAAGGTTGGTGGGTCTTTTTTAATTTCTTAGAAATGTTTTCTTCTTTTAGTTCTTAATATGACGTAGGAACTCCTTACAGCAAAGGTATGAAGACAATGTTGGCCAACTCTTGGATCCAAATCATGCCTCAATATTGAAGCCTGCGGCAGCGAATGGCCAGTCTTCTGGGTGATTTGTTTTTTCTCCTTTTTCATCTAAAATGACCTCTCTGATTATTTAGTGTTTGTTCACACTTAGTTATTTTCAGCGATAAACTTAGTTTTCACCATTTAAATTCCAGGCAAGTGTTGCACAGTACAGCTGGTGGTATGTCTCCACAAGTTCAAGCTCGAAGTCAACAATTGCCAGGAACAACACCGGTAGGGTCACCTAAAATTGTTCTCTCTCATGTTGCCTCTCTGGTCTTGTTCTGAACTTTCATCTGGAAGCAGGATATCAAGAGCGAGATAAATCCAGTATTGAACCCTAGTGCCGCTGGTCCTGATGGATCTTTAATAGGAATTCCAGGCAAGTTTCTCTTTCTCAGGTTATTCTGTTTAGATTGCATTTTCCCTTTGAAAATGGCAAACTGATGATAGTATTAACTCAACTACGCTGCCTTGTCCTTGGGATATTCTCAGTTCATATAACATAGGAATTTGGAAACTAAATAAATGTGATTTCATGTTTTTCAGGGTCAAATCAAGGTGGTAATAATCTAACTTTGAAAGGATGGCCATTAACAGTAGGTTTTTATTTGCTTTAGTTACCTAGTTTTATAAAAACTTACTGTAAGTTTTATTTTTCACCTAGTGTTTCTTCGAATGGTTTCCATTTGATCTGTTTTTAGGGACTGGACCAATTGCGCACTGGGTTACTTCAGCAGCAAAAGCCTTTTATACAGGCTCCTCAGCCCTTTCATCAACTTCAAATGTTGACACCACAGCATCAGCAGCAACTCATGCTTGCTCAGCAGAATCTGACATCACCTTCTGGCAGTGATGATAATAGAAGATTGAGAATGCTGTTGAATAATAATCGGACCATGGGCCTTGGGAAGGATGGTCTTCCTAATTCTATCGGTGATGCGGTTCCAAATTTATCATCTTTGCAGGCAGGCAGTCCACTCATGCCTCGGGGAGATACAGATATGCTAATGAAGGTATTAATGTCCCTATGAAGTGTGCTTTTAATGTCCCTATGAAGTGTGCTTTTACCTTGATTTTATTGCTTGGTATTTTGTTGCCACGAGTCCAATAATCTTCCCATTTCTTAGATATTTCATTTTCCTTGTAGTTAAAATTAGCACAATTGCATCAGCAGCAGAACAATAACTTGCAGCAGCAACAGCTTCTGAATCAGCAGTCACAGAATTCTAATCCTAGTTTACATCAGCAAGATAAAGCTGGTGGAGGTGGAAGTGTCACTGTGATGGGAGCATGTCAAACTCATTTCGAGGGAATGATCAGGTCTGCCTGTTTCTGTTTATCCTTATTTCGTCTTACGAAAAGCATTCCTGGTTCAGGGTTTTGTCTGCTTCCATGTGGCACACTTGTGATGTGTTACTTTGTGTGTGCTCGGTATTGGCAGGGTAGATATTTGTAACGTCCCTGTTCCTGATATTTCTTGCTAATAGACTAACTCAGGTTTTGAACTTCCCATTAGATCTCCTTCCCCATCCTCCCATACCATTTTGTTAAAAGAATTTGATTGATCCATAAGGGGTGTGTGGCTCTCCCGAGATTATAGTAGAGTAGCTTCATAAACATTAATGTCATTCTCCGTTTTCCCCTTGTAGTACTTATCTCATGGAAACATTTCTTGAACTGCCAATTTGTGGATGTTTAGCTTTAAAATCTGCTTCTTTCTTTGGGTTGCAAATTATAAGCTATATTTTCGGGGACATGTATGTGGATAGTGATATAAAGTTGTTATTGAGCTCTGATTCTTAGCTTCAAAACATATATGAGTAGGTTCCTAACATAATTCCCTAAATTCATTTCAAGGTTTCAAAAAACCAGAATGGGAGAAAGAGAAAACAACCGGTGTCTTCTTCAGGCCCTGCAAATAGCTCAGGGACAGCAAACACAGCTGGACCCTCCCCTAGTTCAGCACCTTCTACACCATCAACACACACTCCTGGAGATGTGATTTCAATGCCTACTCTTCCTCATAGCGGCAGTTCTTCGAAGCCTATGATGATGTTTGGCGCTGATGGTGCCGGCACACTTGCATCACCTTCGAATCAGTTGGTGAGTATTAGTTATTTTCCAATGTTTGTGGAGGAACTAAAAATTCCTTGCATAAATTCTCATTGGAACTCCATTTTGGCAGTGGAATGATAAAGATCTTGAATTGCAGGCTGAAATGGATCGATTTGTGGAGGATGGGTCTCTTGATGATAACGTTGAGTCTTTTTTATCCCATGATGATACAGATCCTAGGGATGCTGTTGGCCGATGTATGGATTTAACTAAAGGTGTATAAATATTACTTGTATGGTTATATGATTTGATAGTCTGCTGTTGCAGTGAATCTAATGTAGCCTCTTTTTGGGACATTGTAGTTTCACTTTGTTGACATGTTTCATGTCCTTGTTATTCTTGGATACAGTATGAATATTACATTGTGCCAATTCTTTTTCCAAATGGCTATGGTGAATAATACGTCCTTGTTTGAGACCATGTATATTTAAGAATAGATACTGTATATCTCATTAAACTTTTGTACATTGTAGTGTTATTCTCACTGAAGTGTTATTCTAAATGTTGGTTTTTGCTACTAATTCACTATCTTGTTCTATTGTTTATATATCCAAACGCCAACTGAATTTTGCCAAAAGAAACCACACAATTGTGTGGGCGCATTCATCTATCTTTATTTCTAATTTTGAGGGATACACTTTCATCTCGTATTCTATTATTGTATTACTACATAATGTAAGTGGATTAGTTTGACGCATAATATTTTTACAGTGTACCAAATTTGAATTTGACTTCAGGTTTCACGTTTATGGAAGTAAATTCTGTTCGAGCAAGCAGTAGCAAAGTTACTTGCTGTCATTTCTCATCAGATGGAAAGTTGCTTGCTACTGGTGGCCATGATAAAAAGGTGAGTTCTGAGAGAGGAGACTAGCTTTTTTTTCTCATACTTTTGAGTTGATAGTTAATAATTGGTTTCCGTTTTCTTGTCATAGTAAGAAGTAAATATATATATTTTTTTGCAACACAGGCTGTATTATGGTACACGGACACTTTGAAGCCAAAGTCTACGCTTGAAGAACATTCATGTTTGATTACCGATGTTCGTTTCAGTCCAAGCATGTCACGCCTTGCAACATCTTCATTTGACAAAACTGTCAGAGTTTGGGATGCTGACAGTGTTAGTGAACTTTCTTTTTTCTTATTATTTTGATTTTTGAGCTAGTTATGTCTTCTTGTATGTCCATTTTAAACCCATTAAAGTTTTCGTTTGAAGCATTCTGTGCATGTTCATGCTAATTCATTCCAAGTTTTCTTTCTTCTCAGTTTTCATTTAATTTTCTTTGAGATTGTTAGATGTGATTTGTGTAATTTCTTGAAATTTTCTGCAGCCTGGTTATTCGCTTCGTACATTTATGGGACATTCAGGTAACGTTATGTCACTTGACTTCCATCCAACTAAGGATGATCTTATCTGCTCTTGTGATGGTGACGGTGAAATACGATATTGGAGTATCAACAATGGGAACTGTGCAAGAGCTTTCAAGGTATGATCTTTGCATCATATTTTCTTGCAAAGCAAATATACCAAATCCAGGCCTCTCTTTGGTCTGGCACGGCTATTAAGATGGTTTTCTTTGTGTGGATCAGGGTGGTGCGGCCCCTGGGACTGCTCAACTGAGATTTCAACCTCGCCTCGGAAAATATCTTGCGGCAGCTGCTGAGAATGTTGTATCTATACTGGACACAGAGACTCAAACTTGCCGACACTCATTACAGGTTAATTTAGTCAACATGGATTATAAATTATGTAATAGAAATTTATTTTGTACGTATATATAAGAATTGAGATTGTATCTTCTGCATTTTATTCTGTTGCAGCATGACCGACTTCCTTTTGTCTTTCGATTTGTAATAGCAGGGACATACTAAATTGATCCATTCTGTATGCTGGGACCCTTCAGGTGAGCTTCTAGCATCTGTTAGCGAGGACTCAGTCCGAGTTTGGTCTTTCGGATCGGGCAGTGAAGGGGAATGTGTTTATGAATTGAGCTGTAATGGCAACAAGTTTCACTCGTGTTTTTCCATCCTACATTTCAATCGTTGCTCGTTATTGGTTGTTACCAGGCAAGTAATCTTTTACACTTTAGTTTACCTTGCAATTTTATCATGACATGCAATGTTTCCATGTTGGTTCAGTCTTTGGAGCTATGGAATATGTTGGAGAATAAGACCGTGGCTTTGTCGGCTCATGAAGGACTCATAGCTGCATTGGCCGTATCACCGGTGACGAGGCTGGTTTCGTCCGCAAGTCATGACAAGTTTGTTAAACTCTGGAAGTGATACAATTGCTAGCCAGATTTCCCAACACCGGTTACGAGGCTGATTTCAAACGCAAGTCATGATAAGTTTGTTAAACTCTGGAAGTGATACAATTGCTAGCCAGATTTACCAACATGTTCGGTAACGATTCTTAGCCTATGGTTGTTCTGGTTGCCCGATGTGTCCGTTTTTGTGGTTTGCCCCGGTACCCTGAACCCTAGTAACTAACCTTGCTGTTGAATGCACGTTATGTACCTCGTATCTTTAACTTGAACACTCTTGCTGTTCATTCACCTCCGTGTTTTGATTTTTGCTGGTACGGATTTAAATCCTCTCGTATTTAATCGGAGATGTCTGCTCAGGAATTCGATAAGACTTGAAGATTTGAAGCCATGGATGGAAGCATCTTTCATAGATTTTACGGAAACTTATTTATGAAATCAGTGCATGCATGCATGCATTGGCGTCCAAGTTGAGACCTAAACAAGTAACCATAAATTAAACTAATCTTTGAATCATTGAAATGGGGTAAAAAGAATGACAATCTTATTTTTAGGTCAATATGTTTTATCTTAATTATTTTATTTACGCAATTAATTTAAAATCAGGTACAAATGCTTATTATGAGTTGATTATTCAAACCAATTTATTCTATTCACAAAATATTTTAATTTGACTTATTAGATGAAACTTTAAATTTGACATGTTTAGAACATTATTAATTTTGACAATTAAAACAAAACTATTAAAATAATAGTCAATTTAGCTATTAATAACATTGTGCAATTCGAATTCGTAATATTATCATTATGATATAAATATAAGATTTAAAGACCTTACTTTTATTAAACTAAAATACATAGTAATCTGGTATAAAATTTGTACCATATAGATTACGAATACAAAAATTATAGTATTACGATACAAAACAACATAGATTTCGAGATGAGAACTCAAATCATTATTTTGTAACATAAATTCAAAGTCATAATTTGGTTTTTCGATCGATATGGGCCGTCATGATATCAGTTGGAAACCGGTGGTGAGAGAGAAGCAAAGGCGTGGATCTGTTTGGTGGATTCGATGTGGCTTGCTTGCTCGGAAAAGGCAAAGAGGATGATGAACTCCTTGAAGTCAAAATCTTTAAAAAGTTGTGGATGTTGTTCGTCCACAAACTCTTTGGGTGTACTGATTATCGTACCCTCAGCTGGAACTGCAAAGCATGCCATTGAAAACCGATCTTTGTTTCCGCTCATCATCACTCTGTCATTCACCGCTTTTATTCTCCCATTACTCCATGCCTTCAATTTTTCATTTTTCACACATTTAGTTAATAATATAAATTTAAATACAGAACAATACATATCATATTAATCGTGCATACACATACACATATACATACCATGAGGGGATCTCCGACCACAAAGAAAAAGGAGCCGGGCGTTGAAGACAGCTTGACCCATTGGCCGTCGTTGAGCTCAATTTCCAGCCCTGAAACTAGATCATCGCAGATGATTGTGCTAACTGACTTATCGGTATGAGAATGGAATGCTTTCTTGTACACTCCCGATGGAGGTGACCAAGTATTTAGCTTTATAAATATAGATAATGTCTTAACCTAATGAAATAGATAATTATTTTGGATAGATGTAATTCATTTTGGGATCTCTGAAACTTTTTGAATTTATGTTGCTGAAATATTTTTGTAGGGATTGAGAGAGTTTTTGGGATATACCGGGTTTTAATATCTATACCAGGTTTTGGGATACATGTGATATTATATACTTGTATTATTCGTGTTGTCTACATCTATAGTGGATTATTATTAGTCTCGCTCGTGGCGATAGGTAAGGTCAAACCACGTTAAATCTTGTCTCTTGTACATGTCTTATTTTATGTTAATATCGCTTTGGTTATTTTTCCGCTTATAGATTCTAACAAGCGGTATCAAAGTTATGGTTTGAGCTATGAAATTTTGAATTAATTTGTTGTTGTGAATTTTGTTAGCGATTTTGGAGACATGCAAGATAAATTTGCTGCAATGAGTTTTCAGTTGCAGGGAAGTGACTCTCGATTGATTCAGTGATACTTCAATGGATATTGTGTAAGAATTGAAGTTGTTAAAGACTTGACAACGGTGCTTCAACGCATATGAGACTTAAGTTAAGATTCAAGATATTGAAGATCAATTTTTGATGAAATTTAGATCAAGTGAGAGATTTGTTATATTTTGACCCAAATTATAATTGATAATTAAGTTGGATTTTATTGTAATTATTTTATGTAAGAATTCCTATGGAATAAGAATTCTTGGTGACTAATTATTTGGTTTTATAAATAGAGATAATGTCATAACTTAATATGAGAGAGAATTATTTAGTATAGATGTGATCTTTTGTGAGATCTCTTTAACTTTTTTAATTTATGTTGCAAAGATAGTTATGTAGGAATTGAGAAAGTTTTTAGGATACACAGGGTTTTGGTATCTATACCAGATTTTGTGATACATGTAATATTATGTACTTGTATTTTTTGCATTATCTACATCTGTAATGAATTATTATTCATCCTATCTGTGAAGGTAGACAAGGCTAAACCATGCTAAATATAAATGGTTATAAAAAACGAATAAATTGACTAATTATTTTTCAAAATGCTACAATGCGAAAATAAACGATTTATTAAAAAATTCGATTAGACAAAGTAGTGCGTGCTGACCTAGTAAATTATCACTCATCTTTTTTTTTTTCTAGTCTATGTTGAACTAATAAATTAATACTTAAATCTTTTCTTTTGAAGTCAGCGTTGAACTAATAAATACGACACTTCAATATTTCAAACCTGCTACCATCAACCTTTGAACAGAGCTTGTCTCTTGTTTTGTTAAATGATCCATCAGTCCATTTCGCTCTTTTAACACATACACAAATTACACCAAAGAGATTGTACGAGATAGCCTATCAATCTCATTGAAAGTATTCCACCAACCACAGTCTGAATGGATAATTTTCAATCCAATTGGGACTTGATTCAATAATTAGTTTTACCTTTTCCTAGCCATTCTGCTTCGATGCAAATCAATATGTTTGAATCGTCACAGCTTCTGCAAAATATGAATCCAAACCAGAAACCAGTCCTCAAAATATAGTTCTAACATATCAATAAGGGAGGGTAATTGTTCGGAAAAAAAATCTGAGATGTGTTTTTTTATTAGTCTAAGACGATTCTAAGATAGTATATGTTTAAAAGATTTTCAACTATTTGACAATGAACGTTCAAACAGTCATACATAAGTCATGTTCAAGCTCGAGACCTTTAGGGGTGACAAACATCTCTTGACCTCTAAAATTGTTTAGTTTATATTAAGTTGATGTTAAATTATAACTAAAACGATACTTCTTACTAATAGACCATAATTTTTTTCTTGTTCAGCGAATATTTATTTCTTTGATTTCTTTAATGATTTAAGATATTTACATATACGGAAGAAATCATTTATTTATTTATTTTACATGTGAAAAATATTATATTAGAAAAATAAATCATGGATTTAAAAGTTAGATTAAATTGATTAATTGATTGAGAATCAGTAAATTTTCATTCAAATCATAAAACGAATAAGTACACTCGTCACTTATAAAAAAATGATATATATTTTTAATTCAATCAAATTTGAATCTTCAAACTCTTACTTTTATATTAAGAACACACGTATAGCAAAGCTTAGTCAAATTTAATTATATTAAATAAGATTAAACACGTCACCCAGATGCCTTGCGAGAAAGATAATTGGCCATACCAATTTTTTTATTTGGTCAGCGCACCTCCCTCAAATGTCATTATATTGATGTTTAAAAAAATATTATTTATTACATAAAGTAAATGCTTAATCTTTTATAAAGTTTGTGTATTATTTGATACGTGATTCATGAAAAAAAAATAGTTTTATAAACAGTGTTAAGATTATGAAAAAATATTATTAATTACATAGAGTAAAAGGCTTGATTTATTTATTACATAAAGATAAATTATAATATCAAAATCAGTCTCCAACATTTTTTAAAATTGTCATTTATTCTTTTTTTTAAGATTATTTTGATCTCTAACGTTTAACTGTAGGGCAAAAATTCTCTTAATTTTTTTATTGAAGTCACTTTGACCCTTATTCTTTTTTTTCTTTCTAAAGCATTTTGGCCCTCAGCATTTCGTTTTGGGATAAAAAAAATTCCTATTTTGAAGTATTAATCGTGTGTTTACTAACGATTTACATATATAAAGATGCCTTCTTCTTGGCCCAAATTAAAATGTTAAGAACTAAAATACTCCAAAAAAATGAGTTGAAATAATCATTTTAATAAATGTTAAGCTAATATAAAACGTTAATCATCTTAATATTGCTTTTTATTTGTTACATAATTAAATATAAATCATAAAACGAACACAAATATAAACCAACACAAATTGCATCAACTTGTCTCAACACACGAAGGTGACTTGAAAGCTTTCAATGGTTTAGATAATGTATTAGTATTTTAAATGTAATTACGTAATTTTCTTATTATTAAATGATATATACAAGAATACTGTCTCTAATAGTATTTCAACTTTATCCTAATTTTATATTATGAAACATATTAATTTTTTCTTTAGTCAAATTCAATTCCATTAAATAAGCAAACGCTTATTACATAATCTTTGAAAAAACTGTGTTGAATTAGTAAATATGAATAGCCATGATTTTTAATAAAATTATGGTTTTAGGGGATATGGATTGCACTGTAAGTAAACGTAAAACAAAATCAAAGTATTTAATCCCTTCCACATTTTCAACATATTCTATGGATTCCTTCTTGAAGCCCTTGTCTCAAATTTCATTTTTTATATAGCACATATCTTAATTCATCGTTATGTATTTCTAATTAATATATAAAAATAAAATATAATAATGAAGTAGAATCATTTATAAAAAGAAATTGCTATCAATATATCAAATAAATACTCTTTATAGAAGTTGAAATACAATAGAAAGAAATCTCTAATTATATAGGCGTGATACAGCTTATAATTGATTTGGATTCTCCAGGACTCGTGTTTGGTGTATTTAGTTTTCGGCTAAATTTACTTACTCTAATATAATACTTTTATTGCTGTAAAAAAATCAAAACTAAAATTTTATATAAACCAAAGTTTTTGGATTATATCATATAATAAATAAACAAAAATAACCAGCAACCAATTGATCTAGTCAATCCCTATAATGAGTCTCTGCAAAGACTGACCTGGATTAGTCAATCAATAAATTGAATACCAGTTGTTAATTAAAAAAATTATAAAGAGAAAACTAAAGACATAATATCAAAAATAGCCCCCTAACGTTAATCAAAATGGTAATTTTGATCTTATTATCCTTTTAGAGTATTTTGACTTCCAACGTTTCATTTTGGGACAAAAAGATTGAGGGCTAAAATATTAACAAAATAAAATAGGGGTCTTTTTTCCCTAAAATAAAACATTGAGGGCTAAAATATTTTAAAAATAAAGAATAAGGACCTAAGTGACTATTCAGTCAAACATTAGAATTGTTTTGTCCTAAAATAAACTATCGAGAGTCAAAATGCTCAAAAAATAGAATAGAGACTAAAAAGATCATTTTAATAAACGTTGAAAGTTAATTTTGACATTATACCAAAACTAAACACCAAGGTATGTGCAATGAGATAAAGATGGCTCGTTTTTACTTGGGGTGATTTGATTTTTCCAATTATATAAGACTTAATGTAAAAATAAGTAATCAAACTATACTAAAGTTAACTTTATGTGCCTAATGAATTTTTGGTTAAAAATAGGTGCATAACATTTCCGACGTTATACTTTTAAGTGTCTGCCGTTATATTCGATCGTTAAGCAGCATGTGTTAAACTTATAAAAATATAAAAATTTTATATAAACATTTGGAATTTTATATGTCTGACACATGTTACTTAACGGTCAATTTTAACTGTGTTAACAGTCCAGACACCTAAAAATGTAACGTTGGAAATATTATTCACTTATTTTTAACGAAAAATTTCTTTAGACATCTAAAATTAACTTTAAATATAGTTTGCACAACTTATTCTTACATTAAGCCATTGCATAAATGTGGACATTAAGATGTGAACAAATCAAATCATGGAGATTAGATTATATTGATCAATTGGTTGAAAATTAATTAGTTATTTGCCACATTATCTAAAAACCCATACTATTTTTTTCCAGTTTTCTAACGACGTAATTTCAATCTTTAATCTTAATTTTATATTAAGAGCATAGCAGATTTTCCTTGACCAGAGCACATTCCTGTCTTAAAATAATACATAATCGTTTACTTATAAACCTGTGTTGAATTGAATTCCGTCGCTATAAATAGAAGCAAATCCCCACGTAAGAAGAACCAAGCCAATCCACAAGTTACTCAGTACCAGAAAATCCACTTGTTAGAGCATAAAAACAATTAACATGGGTGTTAACGTTGAGTTTCAGGTCCCAGACATCGAGTTCCAAACCGGTTCATCGGATTTGGAACGAGGAACCAAAGGGTGGCACCAGTTGTGCAAGAGGGTTCGAGAGGCTTGCGAGACCTATGGTTGTTTCCAGGTGGTGTACGAAGGAATATCACAGAAAGTCCGAGAGGACACATTTGCGCTGGTAAAACAACTAGTGGAGGAAGTTCCACTGGAGAGAAAACAAAAGAACGTTAATCCCAAACCTAACCATGGCTTCATTGGACCATGCAGTGACACATCTTTGTATGAAGGCTACGGAATCGACGAGGCCTCCAGCTATGACTGTGTGGAAAGCTTTGCTCGACTTATGTGGCCTCATGGTCACCCCCACTTCTGGTACTAAAATTCCGATTCATGTCATTTCAAGTTTAATTTTTTATAAAAATAACAGATTATATATTATGTATGATCTTTTGTGGCAGTGAAACTATACACACCATAGTGAAGCAAATGGAGGAGCTGAACAGCATGATATGGTTGATGATAATCGATAGTTATGGATTAGGGAAGAAATGGGAGTCAGTGATGATAGACTACAAAATGCTGCTGCGGATGATGAATACAAGGCCCCTCCACCTGGCTGGGAGTCAGGCTAAGGACTCCATTCTCATTCTGATAAACCAGTCAGCACTATCATTTGTGATGATCTGGTCTCCGGTCTCGAAATTGAGGTCAACGATGGTCGATGGGTCAAGTTGTCTTCATCGCCCTCTTCCTTTTTCTTTGTGGTTGGAGACCCTCTCATGGTACGTATTAAACGTACAATTAATTAATTTTGAATTAACATACATATTTAACTTGATTTAATTTGTTCAAGATTAAACGTTAAAAATGTTGTATAATTTCATTTTTAACACAGTCGTTTATAGATTTACCCGATAATATACACAAATATATATAGGATGAAGTCAATGATTATGATTTTCAAACGAATTGATTTGTTTATTCTTCATTTTTTTTTAAATTGTGTTTTCTTATCCAATCTAATAAATAAACATTAACAACATTTTTTTTATAAACTTTCGACTGACTTAGTGAATGAAACCTTTGGTTTTTTTATTGAATTATTGAAAGAAACCTCAATATTTTCTTTGTTACCCTTGAAGGGACCTTAAGTCTTTAGTTGACCAACAAAAGCCATGGGGAAAGTTAATGGAACCTTTTTAATTTGACAGTTTGTTTGATAATTATACAAATCTCATAAACATAAACATTAAATATTTTCAGTTTTCTTATTTATTTTTAAAGTTTTTTATTGAGATGTTTTCATGAGTTTTATTGTTATTATATGTATTTATTTTATTAATCGTGTATAAAAATGAAAATTTGTAGGCATGGAGCAATGGGAGAA